TCCCTAGAACTTGTTCATTTTATAACTGAAAGTTTGTACTTACGACCATTGCACACTGTTGGTGGAAAGGTAGCCATTATGAAAAACAATATGGGGGTTCTTTAAAAAATTTACAGTCCAACAAATATCACTTCTGAGTACATATCCAGAAGAAATGAAATCAGTATCTCAAAGAGGTATCTGCACCCTCATGCTTAGTGCAACACTGTTCACTTAAGTGCATTTTAGCTCTTCACCTACATATTTATTTTAGTCAAAAGTTGCAAGTAGCTGGAGGAGGGCAAACACACTCTTCTGCCTTTGTAGATGCAGTTTCAACTGCCAGAAATGACGCTCCTTTCTTCATCCTCTCTGTCCAACTTCTGCTTATTCTTTTTGTTCTTGTTGTTTATTTGTTGTTGTTTTTATTTTGAGACAGGATCTCCCTATGTAGTCCAGGCTGGCCTCAAACTCTTGATCTTCCTGCCTTGGCTTCCTTGTGCTAGGGCTACAGAGTATTTAACCACTCCTGGTCCCTGCTTAGTCTTAAACATCAACTCCAACATCACCTTCTTATCAAAAACCTTTGCTGTCCTCTCTCCTAAGGCAGACTTGGATGCTCTTTTATCCCCTTCTATTTGTTTCCTTAAATCCCCTGTTTGTTTGCCTCTTCATCCCATGTACTAAATTGCAAGTTCCCTAAGGACAAAATCCAGAGCTGATTCCTCAGCACTCATTATTCCCACTCCAGGTTGGGCCAGAAGATGTTTGTTGTTGTTGTTGTTTGTTTGTTTGTTTGTACAAATGCCATTTTACAGAGCAACTCTAATCCTGCCTTATGCTTCTGTGACCCTGTGCAAGTTCTATGTCCCCAGTCTGTGATGGCATGCCCTTTGCCAAATCATACCAGTGTCTGCATTTTTTTTTTCCTGTGCTTTCACTGTCTTAAGCACTGCCCACCTCTGCCTGGTTCTGAAGTCAGCTTCCTTCTCCCCCCTTCCTTCTATTCCCAAGGCAATCAGGTCCTTCGATCACGGAGGTATAACTTCTAAGCAAGGTTGGGGGGGTGGGAGAGGCATGCTTGGGGTAGGGGGTTAGAGCTGGAAATTGGTTGAGGTCCATTTGAATTGCCATCGTGGCCAATGGCCCAGGCACTGGCCTGCCAAGAGGGCAGCCCTTGGGCTAGGAGCAAAGCTCTTCCTTTAAGTCACTGCAAAGTCCCTCATTTCCCTTGAGCAGTGCCAAGCCTCCTGGATCTTCTCAGAAAATGGACTTTGTTGGTTTAGTTACACTACAAGGCTTCTGCTCCTGCCCTGGCTGTTACAGCTTAAAGATTCCTGGTGTCAATCTGATTGAACAACTTAAATTAAAATGCAATAAAAGGAAAGCCAGAGGCTGAGTCCACTGCTGCCCTCTCTTGAGCTGTGAGCCCTTTCCCATACTATCTAAAGGCTCTGTAGCTGTAAACTTGGAACTCTAGTGTTGGGCTTAGATGCCCTTAAAGATTATTTATTCTACAAACTTGTTCCTGCTGATGGTGAGGCACCTCAGTTCATTTTCAGGTCCAGACAGGACTCTGAAGTCCTCAAGCTACCCAGTGGCTGGGACTTAGGATTCACCATCATCCAGGGTCTCTCACAACAGCAGGTGGAAGAAATTTTGTTTGAAAATGCCAGACTCATGCTCTTGCTTCCTTTTTGTTTATTGGATAACACTTTGTGGCAATAAAATTCATATATCATATGAATTCACCTATTTAAAGTGGTTTTACTTTGCATTTATTCAGAGTTGTACAACCATCTCCATTTTAGAATATTTTCACCATTCCAGAAAGAAACCCAGTAAAAATCATTTAGCTGCAATCCCCCAACCTCCACATTCTGCCTACTTGTAGACAATCACTAACCTACTTTCTGCCTCTATATCTTTGTCTATTCTGGACATTTCATACATATAATTGGAATCAAAATATGTATCTTCTTGAGACCACCTTCTTTTATCTAGCATAATGTTCTCAAGACTGACCTATGTATAGCATCGATTTCATTCTTTCTTATAATCAAATAACATTCTACCATATGAATATACCTCATTTAAAAACTGTATACATTTAAGGTGTATAGAATGTCTTGACATAGCACATTTGGCTTATCCATTCATTAATTGAATGACCATCTTTAGGCTACTGTAAATAGTGCTGTTGGAAACATTTATGTACAAGTGTTGGTGTGGACATTTATTTTCAATTCTCTTGGATTGAAAAATTTATTTGTTCTTGCATCTTGTTAACAACATCAATACCAATACTGGTGAAGAACCTAAATCTTATTGCACACATTGACTTATAGAAAAATGGTGAGGACAGGCAGCTGGCTGGAGGAGAGGCACCAAGAGGTGAGTTGTTAACTTGATCCAGTTATTTGTTGTCCATTATTGCCTTGGGTCTCCTAATTCCCCAGTGAAGACCAGGTCCCTCCTTCTCAGTGGAATTATGTTCTCACTTCCAAAGCAATTTGCTTCTTCCTTACAAAGGGGACTGGTGGTTTTGTGTGGTGTTTTGGAACCTGTTGAGGAAATCATCTTTCAAGAACTTGTCTTTTGACAGAGTTGCAATTCTCAGAGCTCTGTGTGTAGGAAATAAGGTGCTACAGTGTGCTCTAGTTCCATACTGTCTGGGCACCCTGATCCACTCAACTTCTATCAATGTGTCTGTGTATACGTGGTGGTGAGGGGTGCTAAGATGAGAGGTGGATGTTGCTCTGGACACTTAGTAGATTGAACCATAATGAAATTGCCGACATTCATTCATTTTTGACCTATGAAAGTGGCAATTTCATGTGGCTCATGGAGTTGGACCTACCAGTTTCTGGTGTCCACTTCTTTTCCTTCTGGTGTTCCTCTTAGTGGCCCAGATTCTGTGCTCTGGGAAGCCTGTCAGCCCCTCCAGCCTCCTGGCCTTCTTCATTCAACCTTCTAGCAGACTTTCTCCAGCTGCTCAATCTAGTGCCCAGAAGCATGAACAGAAGTGGGGAGAGCACTGAGCTGGGGAGACCTAAGCTCAGGTCCTGATTCCTCACTGGTCTCCTGCTTCCAGCCTGCCCCCTTCAATCCTTGTCCCTTATAAGTACAGATGTGCTCCAGCCATCCTGGACTTCAAATCTTGCAGTGACTTCCCACGACTGTGGACTCCCTCATTTGGCTGAAAGACACAGCTTCAGCTGCTTTCTGCTCCAGCCATGCCTAACTATGGCCCCTGAAGGCACCTGTGCTACCACACTTCTTTGCCTTGGCACCTGCTTCCCCTCTACCTGGAAGACCTCATGCAGTCTTTCTCTCAGCTACCTCTGACTTAGCCTTCATGTCCACTCCTTAGGATTCTTCCCTGGGTCTTTGGGCTGTATGAAGAATCCTTACTCTGTTCTCATTTCTTGTGCTTCTGTGTCTTCTGGCATCATTGTCTATATTTTAATTACCTTTTTATATATCTGTCCTGTCTGTCTCCCTTGCTGGGTTGTAAGCTTCTTGACAATATCACTTAACTTACCCTTTAACTGTTGAAGCCAGGATAGAAGTCAGCAAACTCAAGTTTAAAAGAACTAAGCAGGGATGCTGTGACTCAGTCTCTCCATTTGCTGGAAATGGTCCAGAAGCTTGGGTATTGCCCATTGGCCTCCTTTAAGCCTCATTTGCCTACTGAGAATAGAAAGGAGTTCACTTTTAAGGATTCTTTTAATTCCTATGGTCTCAGAAACTGGGATATGAATCTTTACCTTTCCGGAGCCACACATAGGGATCCTGCGTGAACCCAGGGAGATAGATAGAAGAGGACTGCCTAAGGAAAAGGTTCCAAGGAATTTTAAGGATGATTATTTTCTGTTCTTTAAAAGTGTTTTAATTTAGCGAGTGTTTGCAGAGCACCTACGAAGCATGATAGAAAGTTATAAATACTAGCTTCCCTCTTTTTCTTGTGATGCTGCATTTCCAGCTAGTCTAGAAGTGCTGGTCTAAAGCCTGCCTTTGTAGATATTCTCTGCCGCCAGGACTCGAAGATGCGTTGGGCAAGGCTGTTCCACGTCTCCAAATTTGTCACTGCCGGCTCAATCTGATTCCGCAGCTGAGCCAGCGGAGATTGGCTGCGCAGGGCGGCCTGGGCGCCCTCTGGCGGCAGCGCTCAGAAGCTATGATCCAGCGGCAAGCTGGCGAGGGGAACGGGGAGGGAGGAGGGAGGAGGCGCGGGCAGGGGAGGAGAGGAAAAAGTTGCGCTGGGAAGTTTGGAAAGTTGGGAAGTGGCTGCTGCGGGCTTCGCCTCCCTCCGCGCGTGTGTGGGGAGCGATAGAGAAGCTAGCGAGCGCCTGCCATGCCCATCAGACTCCGCCTCGCCGCGCCCAGGAGCAGAGCTCACCTCGACTCCCTGCGGCCCGGCCCGGCCCGGCGCGGCCCCGGCCCCCCGCCCCCCGAGCCGGGTCCACCCCTCCCCCCGCCCCGGCGGCCCCAGCCCCCGCCCGGCCCGGCTCCGCGCCGCTCTCCCGCCCTCCTCTCTCCCTCCCTCCCGGCCGCGGAGCAGCATGGCGGAGCCCGGGCAGCGGCCGCGCGGCCGCCCGCCGCCCCTCTGAGCCCGGCTCGGGGGCAGCCGGGCGCCCCAGACCTGACCCCCGCCCGCCGCGCCCTCCGCCGCACTTGTCCCACTGCGCGCCTCCTGGAGCGCCGCGCACCCCTGGGACTCTTGCGCGCCCCGGGTGCCCAGCATAACCCCGAGACCCTTCATCCCCGGATCTCGGTACTGCCCCAGGAACCCAGCCTAACCCTGGACCCCGGCGCGGCTCAGACACCCCCACGCATCCCAGGAGCCCTGCGCGCACGCAGAATCCCGGGGCTCCGCCAACCGGGCTGCGCGCCCTGGTGAGGGGCCCCGCCCCAGAGGGTCCCCTTCTTCCAACAGACGGAGCCCCGCCCCGAGGAACCCCCCAGGTCCAGCAGGGACATCCAGCCACGCCCCAAAGGGCTCCCAGCATCCCGCGGCTGGAGCCCCGCGCTCCAGAGAATCCTCCGTGCCCAGCTGGGGGCTCCCCGCCTTACTGAGGGGGTGCCGCCCAGGAGGATCCACCGCGTCCCGCGGGCCCCAGCAGGATGCACGCCGCCCTGGCGGGGCCGCTGCTCGCCGCCCTCCTCGCCACCGCCCGCGCCCGCCCGCAGCCCCTGGACGGAGGACAGTGCCGGCCGCCCGGATCGGTGAGAGAGCGCCTGCCCCGCCACTCTCCCGCCTGTCTGCCCCGGCACTCTAGCCCGTGGGGCTATGGTTTGGGTCCTGTCTTCCTCACCCACCTCAGCCCACCCACTCCACCTCCGCCCTCTGGGCACACCCTGAGCTCCCTTCCTTCGAGTCTGCTTGCCTAGCCTCCAGCTCCAAGCCGGAGCCGAGATGGGGCGCTCCTTCTCTCCCGATCCTTTTCCACTCCCAGACGGGCCGGCTCTCCTTTGGACTTTCAGTCCTTGTTGGACGTTTCCTTTCCCTGTGCCCCTTTTTGCTACTCATCCTTCTGACTTTTATCCTATCTTTACCTTCTGGTATCTCTCTGCCCACCTCTGAGTCTGTCTCCCCACATTCCTTGTCCTCTGACTTCCATCCATTTCTTTTGCTCTCCCAGCCTGCTCCTTTCCAGGCTTCTCTGCCTAACGCTGCCCTCTGGTTCAGACCTAAAGCAGGCTATCCTACCCTGGTGCTGGTTCCCACTTCTCTCTTCCTCTGCAGCCAAGGGCCCCAGCACCTATGGTCCTAAGTGCCCCTGTTTCCTGCAAAAGGGGGAAAGAGTCCAGCAAGAGGAAATGCCAGGAGATGCTGGCCTAATGTTCCTTGGAGATCATGTAATTACTGGTTCTCCTAATTTTCTTCCCTAAATCAAGAACTCCTTGATTTACCCCCAATGACTTTCCCTTTGAATGTAAATCAGTGCATGGACCATAACCCTGAACTGGAGGCCAGGAGACCAGAAAGCAGATGTAGGATCCTCATGTGCTGTCCTGTTAGCAGGGAATTAGTTGACCTTGGGCAAGGTGCACCTCTAGCAGCTTGCTTTGTGCAGAGACAGGGAGCTCTCTAGCTAGTAGTGCACTCTGTCTATTCCTAGTATGCTGAGATTTACAATTTTTGTTTGTTACCTTAAGTAAGGTACTATTTCCCCCCACAACACATATTTTTCATCTGTGCCTGAATCAGGAAAAAAATTATTACAAGTTGATCTAAAGTTTGCAAGTGATCAGTGAGTGGGCACTACAGGGACTTTTTAGATGGAAAATTACTTTGCCTGAGAGAAATGACAGTGCCCTTCTCATGCTCCTTTCTGGTGATCCTATTCTGGATCTGGAGAAAAGACCCTGGTGTGTGTGCCCCTACACATATGCACACAGATGTGCAAACACACACATCCTTAGTGGGAGCTTAGGTCATAGAAAGTGACAGAATTGGGAATGGAGACCAGGTATGTATTTTTGGTGGAGAAGCCTGGAAAGCACCCAGAATGGGTACATTTCTTGGGATTAATTCTATGGAATCCTCTCCTCAGAAACCAGAAATTGAGACTTGACTTGGCTTTGCAAGGTTTTAAAGCACTTTCTCATCTATGGTCTCAGCTAGTGGAGCAAAGGAGCTAACACCCTAGACCTGCCCTCCAAGAAGAAAGCCGTATCCATCTGATGAATGGGAAGTAGCTGTTGAAATCGGTGTGCTATTTTTAATAGGTGTTCTGCTTTCAAAGTGCTCTTGGCATGTGTCTTCTAATGGTTGTATTTAAAAGTTATATGACTTCCTCCCTTCTTGCCAGAGCAGGACTTTTGGTTCCCCTTGCCCCACCCTCCAAATGAAACACCACCAGTGAAGGTTTGGCTTGGCCAAGCATGAATGTTCTCAGGTGGTGCGGCAGGCCTTGGCTCTCACAGTGAAAGCAAGTCATAATGAGAGACTCCCTTCATCGCCCACTTCCTCTTTGCCTGGCACTGCTCTGGGGGCTTCATAAACATATATTGTGTCTTTTAATCCTCCCCCAAACTCCTGCTCTCACTCACATTTTACAGATGAGGAAACTGAGTCTGTGGGGAGTGAGTTGATTCACTCAAGATTATTCATCTAAGATAGGGCAGAGCCAGGGTTTGAATGTATCCTTGCAAGCTCTTTGTAACAGCTGAAGTGGGTCTCTGACTTCTGTCCCTCTGCTACCCACCTGTGCCAACCCTGGGTCTGCTCTGTTGCCTTCAGCCTCACTGCCCTGCCTGTCTTTTCCTTTCCCCCTGCAGCAGAGGGACCTGAACTCCTTCCTGTGGACTATCCGGCGCCATCCCCCAGCTTACTTGTTTGGCACCATCCATGTCCCCTATACCCGAGTCTGGGACTTCATCCCAGACAACTCCAAGGCAGCTTTCCAGGCTAGTGCCCGTGTCTACTTTGAGCTGGACCTGACAGACCCCTATACCATCTCAGCACTGGCCAGCTGCCAGCTGCTGCCACATGGGGAGAACCTGCAGGATGTGCTGCCCCGAGAGCTCTATTGGCGCCTGAAGCGTCACCTGGACTACGTGAAGTTAATGATGCCCTCATGGATGACACCCGCACAGCGTGGCAAGGGACTCTATGCCGACTACCTGTTCAATGCCATCGCAGGCAACTGGGAGCGCAAAAGGCCCGTGTGGGTGATGCTTATGGTAAACTCACTCACGGAGACGGATGTGCGCTCCCGTGGTGTGCCAGTTCTGGACCTCTACCTAGCTCAGCAGGCTGAGAAGATGAAGAAGAGCACTGGAGCTGTGGAGCGGGTTGAGGAGCAGTGCCATCCACTCAATGGGCTCAACTTCTCCCAGGTAGGCACATGCCAGCCCAGAGTGGCAGCCCCTGGGGCTCAGGCCTCTTCTCTGACTATTGTCTTCTTCCTCCAGCAGGTAGCCTTTCCCCAGCAGGAGATCTTTCTGGCCCTGAGGCAGCACTTCGCTGCATTAGTAGAATGAGGAGCCACAGTTTGGGTGTTTTCTTCCATTTCAGTGGTTCACTGTTGGGGATATCCACTCTCTACCTGCTGTGCTTGCCTGAGCAGAAGGAATTTCCCTGGGAGCATCAGAGTGATCCAAAACAAAAAGAGGGAGTTGCCAGTTCACATCAGGCTTTTTGAGGCCCTGGTGTCTCCAGAGCAGGAGGCTGTCATGAAGCTGTTGTGTCTGTATGGAGGAGGACATGATGCCTGGGCTGGGCTGCTGGGCAAGTGTCATGGACCTGTCCTCTGCTAGCACTGGTTTGCTATTTCAGGTGAAGCACTGCAGAATCCTCCGGGCCCTTTGCTAAGTTCTGCGACCCTCAGACTGCCTCCCTAAGGTTGGGAGAAAGTCAGCAAGGAGACTTTGGGGGTTAATAATTTCAGAGAAATGTGTTTGCTTAAAGGTTGACAGTTCTGATTTCTGAACCTCAGGAGTTGGAGCAGGGAGAAGGGAGGGGCTTAAAAGGTTTAAAGTCTGGTTGCCAGAGACCTGATCCAGCAAAATGTCATTAAAAGCCGGTCTCCATGGGCAGAGGTCATTCGCAACTCACTGGTCCTAAACTCAACTCTGAGGCCCTGGGAACAATGAGTTTACATCTGAGGCTTGAGAACAGGACTGTCAATCCCAGAATGGGGGCTCCCAGACTAGTGGCTCCTACAAGGAGACCCCAAGACAGTGTTTGGGCTGATGCCCTGAGTGATGTGTGACCCCCAAAACATATATGTTTATAATTAAGGAGACAGCCCAATAAAATGACGAAGCCAAAAAGTCTGCCACTGGAATCGGACCTGCTTGCTGCTCCTGAGATGTTGCAAGCTCTTCACCAGGGAAACCGTGGCAGAAACTGATCCCCCTTCCACGATCTCTGGCCTTTGTTTTTCCAGGGGAAATGCAATATTGTCCCCAGGGAGGTAAGAAGCCAGATTGATTTGCCGGCCAAATGAAAGGCGGGTTTGTCGGTTCTCCTGCTGGCTCTCCCATAATTGTGGAGTCCTTACCCAGAGGGCCCCAGTGGCAGGAATATTGGGGCAGTTAGTCACGCCCCGCAGGGTTCTGACTATGCCTGACTCCTTCTCCATGGGGGAAAATCCTGTGTATTCTCTTTGCTGGTGCTAAGTTCTCTGAACATAGCGGCTTGTTCCTTCTGAAGTGACTTTTCCCTTGCCAGCCTCAAGAGCCGATATTATCTGTGCTGGGCCCCCAGTGTTTACCGCCCATCTCATTTTAGAGGCAGTTTTGTGGGAGGCCTCTCTGCTCAGAGACCTCATGTCTGGCCTGGATATCTTTTTTAGGTTAAGGAGGTGGAAGATCCACCATCACTCTCGACACCCTTTTTGTACCAACCACAGAGGACCCCAACAAGGGCTGAAAGGGAGCACTCGAACTCTCTGGTTAAACAGCCCCTGGCTTTAATCTGTCTCTCTTAAAACAACAAAACTATCTTTCTTTAGGGGTCTGGAAACGCTGCTGTTCAGCCAAATGATGGCTCTGCTAGGTTGAAAACATTTGCTGCAAAGTGTGTGAGGTTATGTTTTAGGAAAAGTTCCTGAGAGCCATTCATCGGCTAGCAAGGAGCCCGCTGACAGTCTCCAAAGCCCATGTTTGAAGATCAAACAGACTCCAATTTCTGTTGCAAAAACACGCCCACCTTCACCACCAGCCTGGGCCCGCTCTTCAAATTGTTCTTGGGTCCAGCATCTCTAAAGGGCTGAGCAAAAGAAAACAGGACTTCTCTTGATTCTCTAATCTACACACCCTTCATCACCTGCCCAAGCATCTGACTATGCCAATTTGTCCTGTTATCATTTTGGAGGGAGGTGATGAAACCTCTCCTCCATCCTCTTGGACTAACTGGGAAGGGTGGGATTCCGGAACCCTAACCCCAAAGTCAGAAATGCAACAGCCTTCTCGGTAAAATTGCATGTGCTCATGCACATTTTGATAGGAACATCTGTGATGCATTATTGTACTGAAATATCTGTTAAGTGCATCAGATTTTTATTTTTTCTTTCTTCGAAGCATTACTGTTATTGCAAAATATTTGGGTGGGGGGAGCAACAAGAGAGGAAGGCGAGAAAAGGAAAGCTTTTAAGAATGCCTTTTCATTAAGGCCTGGGATTTTAGTTTAATTTAGGTGTCTTAAAAACATTTTATTCATTTTTTTTCTGAGCAAAAATACCACATTTTTGCTTGTTAAGTGGGGAAAGAATGTTTAAGTTTTGGGACTCTCAGAGTTGGAGGAACCACTGAAAAGCTTGGAAGGCTGGTAATTTGCATAGCTTGGAAGATCAGGTTGGTAGGTTTTGACCTTCGATTTGAAATTAAACTGAAGTGCTAGATCCACTATCACCATGATCTTGCCATGTGACCTTGGGCAAGTCAGTTCCTCTCCCTGGGCCCTGTTTTCTTTTCCTGTGAAATGAGACACCAGGATTAGGTCATCTTTCAAGCCCCTTCCAGCCCTGACATTCCATAGGACAATTCTAATCAATTCCATGTGCCATGCTGGGCACCCTACATGAAACTCCACATGCATTTTCATTTCTTTGAATTCTCACAACAACCCTATGGCTTTTTAAGATGGGCACCCAGAAAGGTTGGATGACTTGCCCAAGGTCACATGGCTAATAAGGAACAGAGCATGTCTACTGGCCTCTAAATGAAGGATGTGTGCTTCTAGCTGCCCCATGCTGTTTCTGTAGACTTCCTCCTGTTTAGGTGCTTAGTATCCTCTTATAATTCTTTCCGTAGTCCTTCCTTCTGTTTCTGTCTCCCCTCTAGGACTTAAGTGCTTAAATTTTTATTTCTGGAGGAATTTGTATTTGTAGAGAAAATATTTCCTTTGGTTATTTGTCTGGAGTGGTGATAGGAAGGCAGGGCTTCTAACGGTTTTCCTGATGTAGTATAGACAGCTTAGCCTGGTGGACACAGACAGAGATTTGTATATAACCTTGGGCAAGATTCAGTGTTCCTATCTATAGGGTGGGGCATTAGTTACCAGCCTATCGAAAGTGAACTATTTTTGTGAGGACATGAGAAAATACTACCTGTGGAAGATTGTTGAGAGGACAAACAACTTCTAAGATATTGTTTCTGTATTTGGCAGAAAGTCTAAGTGGGCTACAGAGCAGGGGAAGAGGAGGGATGCTTGAAGCAGTCATGTCCAGATCTTATGACAATCTTGGGATCTGCAGATTCCTATCAACTCTGCCTGCTGCCTCCAGAGTCTGGTACTAGCTGCCATTCTCCCTCTAGGGAGCCTCAGTACTCCCCTCCCCCTCCATACACTGGAGGCTCTGGATTCTTCCAGGTAAATTAATAGAACAAGGACCCTATCATTCTCTACTTTATTGTGTTTTAATCTGCATTAGCACTATCCAGAGTATAGAGCCAGAACTCAGGGGCATGCCTACCAAAGGCTTATAAAATTCCTTCAACCCTGCACCAGGGAGATAGAAACCACAAAATCATTTACAAGTTTTGTCTCTGTGTGGTGTGCAGCATTGAGTCTCACAAGTATATTAACCTTATAGAAATTCTGCGGTTTATTATCATATCTATTTTAAAGACAATAAATTGAGACTTGAAAAGGTTTGGTTATTTGGCTGTGATCACATAAATAGGCCAAGTGGACTTAGGGTTAGTAGGCATCTGAAAGATGGATTGATGTTGGTTTTAATAGTCAGATGGCACTATCTGGTGAGAAACAGTTAATGTGTGTGGAGGGGCATCTTCATTTTTTGCTAAAAAAAGTAAAAGAGATAATTAGAAAGTGCCAAAACTATTTTTCTCCCTGACTTATAAATTGGATCTGAAGGTAATTCTAAATAGACATTCCCAAAGACATTCTGGGCACCAACTGCATCCCTGGAATGCATCCTCAGCTTTCCAAGGGACCACTGTGAAGATTGCTCCCCTAATGCAGGCTAAACCTGCATAGTTGAATAAAGAAAGTTTCCTTGGTTCAGAATCATAACTATATTTATACTATGAGAGATCTCTTAATACCATAATCTTGTGGGTCACATGTCAGCATATGAATTTTAGAGGGAGATAGACATCCACACCATAATGTGGAGAGTTCAGATTCAAAGCAGACTCTTATTTTCACTCCATTAGTACCTTGGCTATGAGTTTGGGTAGTCCTTTTCCCTGCATAGGCCTAAGTTGTCCCCTTTATTCTACCATTGGGCTAGATGATTTCCAGTACCAGCCCATTTCTGCCATCTTTGGTGCTCATCTTTGGCCCCTATATCTTGGAAGTCCTGAGCCATCCCACTCTGAAACTTTGAGCCTGAGTTATCCATCATTGTCAAGCTTGTTTTTGGCGGGCTTCTACTGATACCTACTTGTTGGGAAGCCTGTTGGTTTTGGTGGGTCATCCTGCTGGCTGTCTGCAGAGTAGAAACAGTGGTGGCATAGTCTGCTGGACACCCACCCAGGCTCAGTCTTCTCCTTCATCATGGCTCCTCTCCATTCGTGTCCTCATTCATTCAACCAGAGCACTCATTGTGTTGTGTTAGTACAGGATCTGGAAACAGAGACCCAGGAACTACATAGATTTTGCTCATTGTCTGAGGGTGTGTATTGCTTTTATATCCTGAGTGGTTGTCATTACTAGTTCTCTTTTACAGTTGTGGAAAGTGAGGCACAGAGCATGTGAATATTAGTCTGTCCTGTGTCCTGATTCTTCACCCTTCATAGAGAGACCTTGTTCTTTCTTTTGCTTCCTGTTTCATGCTCTCCTCTTTCAGAACCAAGGTCTAATTTCCCTCTTCCAAGAATGACCATTCTCCAATGCCATAGCCCCCTCCAAGCCTCTGTGGCAGCCCTTGAATCCCACACTGTTGAATCTTGTTAGATCTCTGCTTCTCAGAGTAAAGGGAACAAACACCTCCCTCAAGGCAGCCGTGCCCTGGGAGGATCTCAGACTATGCGAATTCTCTTCTCTCCAGAAATCATCCAGAGTGAGAACC